GGAGTTCGAGATCAGCCTGAGCAACATAGCAAGACACTGACACCACCAAAAAAAAATTAAAAATTAGCCAGGCATGGCAGTATGAATCTGTAGTTCCAGCTACTTAGGATGCTGAGGTGGGAGGATCACTTGAGCCCAGGTATTCTAACACTGAGGCCAGGTGGGGTGGCTCAAAACTGTAACCCTGGCCGGGCGTGGTGGCTCACGCCTGTAATCCTAGCTCTCTGGGAGGCCGAGGTGGGCGGATTGCTCAAGGTCAGGAGTTCAAAACCAGCCTGAGCGAGACCCGATCTCTACTAAAAATAGAAAGAAATTAATTGACCAACTAAAAATATATATACAAAAAAATTAGCCAGGCATGGTGGTGCATGCCTGTAGTCCCAGCTACTTGGGAGGCTGAGGCAGGAGGATCGCTTGAGCCCAGGAGTTTGAGGTTGCTGTGAGCTAGGCTGACGCCATGGCACTCACTCTAGCCTGGGCAACAAAGTGAGACCCTGTCTCAAAAAAAAAAAAAACTTGTGATTTTAGATGTAAGGAAAGTGTATTTTTCTCTCATCCATTTTTATTATAAGAGAGCATTTACGTGAGCTTCTCACATAAATTTAAGGTAACTGTAACATACTGTCATCCCGAAACATTCTAAGAATCTAAGAATAAAACAAACCTAGACAAAGACTAAAAGGTATTATGTTATAGGGGTTGCGATGATGAGATTACATGATTCTATTGTTTTTTTGTATCTTCCAGCAAGATCTTTACTTTATAAGTCTCAAAAAATACTTTTGCCTCTTTTCAGAGAAAAGCACTCAATAGTTCCACTGTATTTAATATAGTTTGGAATTAACAGTCCTGTTTGCTCGCCTGTTTATCCAGCATCCCTGATGTCAGCACGAACAGGGCATCTAAGGGCACCTGGCTTGGCAAGAGGTAGGAGGCAAGGAGATCTATCTGTCAACCCGGCAGTATTTTGAGTTCTTTAACTAACATGCATTGAGTATTTTGCTTGAAAAGCAATTCACTGCATGTTATAGGTAGCTCTCACACAGAAGTATCATGCAATGACAATAATTTCTTCAAATCCAATTTTACTTTTTTTTTTCAATTTTACTTATTTAAAGTCTAGATTTAACATAGACACTGCTGTTCACTTTAAAGACCAACTGTCCATGAAAAAGGTTTTAAGACAGAAAAGGTAAGGCTGGCTTGTTAATGTTTAATGGTTTCAACAGTCCTATCTCATGCATGTAGTCAATATCAAACAGCTATTTATAAAACCTAAATTATGTTAACCTAATTTTTATCATGCAATCCCAACATTTCCCTGTAATTCAGAACTTATATAAAAGGCCTGTTTCTTAAACCTATTATTTAAGACAAGTATGTCCATGTTATGCAAACATTCTATCCAGAAAACCATTAAGATTAAAATGTATTTTGAGATGTTTAACACCATCAGTTAAGCCTTACTTACTAAATTTAGTAGTGTCACCCCACTCACACCTAGGGCTGGGCATCCCCACACTAACAGCTACGGGCATTCACATCCATGAAGGAAAACTCTGAGATGGTACCGTACATTCATAACAAGAAAAACTACAAATGAGTAATTAACCAGAAGGCTAGAAGGACTAATTCTATTAAGAGTAAGCACATCATGAGAAAAGATGGCCCAGACTGGGAATTGGAAACCTACCCTCCGCCTCCATGACTCACGTCTATACCAGCAGCAAGCCCTAAGCCTCCCTACTGGTCTGCAGGCCACACACGACCACTGTGGTCTGTCCAACGCCAACAGGCTGCAATTTCAATCAGCAACTTCGTCCAAATGTAACACTAGCCATTATATTTAAGCTGTGAAAAAAATATGTAACACATAAAATATTTTTATTTAACAAAGATGAAAGACAACAAATTCACCTCATCTGGTTGTCCATATTTGTTGCTATTTACTTGGAGAAATTTTAAAGTATTTCATATGTTCTGCTTCAAATGGTATCAAACATGATCTAAAAAGTAGCTTAAAGAAATATACATGCAAAGCAGGGTATTTCCAACTTTTAATTAAGGTCCAGGATTTTACAGAAAAAACTAATCAAACTATAAACATAATCAAAGGAAAATTAAAGACAAAAGCCTACAATGAAAGCTGAGATGACTCTTGTCCCATGCAACCACTGTGGCAGCAAGAAAGAGCCAAAATAATTGTTTAAAACTTAAAAACTTTATTACCTGTACTTTCCAAATTTCCTCAAAGATTTCCCAACAAGTCTCAAAATCTGAGCTGAATCAGCTGCTTTTCTTTCTTAAGTTTCAAGAATACTACATAATTGTCATTATTTAACTGGCAAGATTTGGGAAGTGGGAAAGGTTGGCTTTCTGCACAACAGGAATCAATATATCAGAGGTTTCAAACATTGTGGAGTGGTGAATCCAAAAACTCACCTACCTACTGATTGACAGCCTATATATATGTTGCCTGAGCAGCTTTCCCTGACAGAAATAGTTCCACTTGAAAGTTAGGGTACATAATAATGCTCTATGAACAATTTTATTCAAAAGGCCATTCTCTGCTTTCCAGATGAAATAACTAGGCAATTCCAAGTAACACTAAATAATGACTACACACAGTGGCTCTTGCCTGTAAATCCCAGCTACTCGGGAGGCTGAGGCCAGGAGTTTGAGATCAGCCTAGGCAATATAACAAGACCCTCATCTCTAAAAAAAAAAATTTTTTTTAACTAGCCAGGCATGGTGGGTGCACACCTGTCTGCAGTCCTAGCTACTCAGAAAGCTAAAGTGGAGGATAGCTTGAGCCCAGGAGTTCAAGGCTTGCAGTGAGCTCTAATAGAGCCCCTGCACTCCAGCCTAAGTGACAGAGGGAGACCTCATCTCTTTAAAAAAAAACCAAAAAAACAAAAACAAAAAACTGCACACATATCTAAGCTAGTAACACAACACTTCAGAGTTAAAATAGTGCACGTTAACATACATAAGAGTTAATAATGCTTCTGAAACATAATGATATTTCATTAAAACTCCACCTTAAATTTAAAACCATTCTTCTCTATAATTAAGAGTTTACACAACTTCACAAACGGAGTTCTTAAGAGAATAATATAATTTATAATAATAATTTCCAAAGAGCCAAAATAAAATTTTGAATATGTCTATATTATAGCACACAGCTTCTGTTTATATTTGAAAAGGTCAGATGTCATAAAATATGACTTCCATACATGCTGAGAAGAGCTTCCTCCAGGGAAGCCCACCAGTAATGCCTGGTGTTGGTAGGCAGCTGCACAACTGCCCCTGGGGCCCCCAGCCTTCAGAATAATCCCCACAGAGTAGCTGTGGAGTTCCCAGGCCACACCTTACCAGCTAAACCAACTTTCCCTGTTTTCTCCTTCCAGTTATGCTTTACTCACAAATAATACACACCAAGTTGAACCTGATTGTGGAACCGCCTGGATTTCAAGATGAAGTGCTCAGAAAGGAATGGCAAATACGATATTCAGAAGGCTCAGATTTTAACATGCACCGAAGACCTCACTTTCAAAGCAACTATGAAGTCAATTAATTATTCAGTTGGAAATATGTCGCTGATAGAGGACCTTAGAAAGCAAACATTTAGTTTACTGATGCTATATGTAACCAACAACAGGCCTTCCAGGGCTTAGGGCCTCCTGCTCTCATAAGACATCATGTAACATTTCACTACTGAGTAAAACAACAGAAGCCCTCCAAAGAATATTGCAACTTAAGTTTTAATTTGTAAACAAAATTCCAAATTCCAGTTACCATTCTGGCAGAGTCAGAGGCCTCACTGCAGAACACATTCATCTGTTTCTTCCTGTAAATATCAGCTTTATCAGTCCCAAAGACTAGAAATTACTGGTTCAAACTGCACAGTCCTAGCCCAATGACGCAAATGACCCAAGGATAAGCTTTTCGCAGGTTCGGCCTGAACACAAGCACTGCCTCCGTTTTAGGTGAGAGAGTCTGCAGGTCTTGACAGGATGCTGGGGATAGGCAGAGATGAATTAACAGGATTTCACTTTACACTTTTACCTGTTTCAAGATTCTAATTATCACTAAATGGCTTAATCAAATTTCTGTCCTAATAAAGCATAATAGATTAGTTTACCAATGGTTAAAGCATTATATTTACAGATCCCTGAATGGACTAGAAAAACCAAGCCAAAATCAGATGAGAAAGTTTTTAGGTGACAGTTCCATCTACCCACCCCCCACACCTGCCAGTATCACAAGGGTCTGGCACAATTACAATGAAAAAACAAAAATCAATTAGCTCTTGCATGGCGCATCTAAAATAAAGCTTTTAACCTTAAAATTCCCTTGGAGGTACTAGAGTAAAAGGGACATTCAGGCCCTGGACACCAAGGGGAAATAGACAGACTGTCATCTAGGAGGGGTCGTCAGAGCTGGGCTCCCAGGAGATGCACACAGAGGGCCCACGGGGCAGGGGGCGAGGCAAACGCAAAAAGCCCACGGGGCTGCCCTCACAAACCAGGAGAACGTGGGGAAGGGAAAGGGATCCCTGGACCCCAAAGGCGAGGGGCAGGGGCGGGGGTGTCGGCGGATATCCCAGGGAGTGCTGCAGGAAATGATATCCAGACTCGGAGGGTGGATCTAGGAAGCGGCCAGGGCGATGGCCCGGCGGGGGGAAGGGGGTGGGAGTGGGAACGGAGGATGTGGCTCCGAGGAGCAGGATGAGGGGGCGGGACGCTCGAACGCGGATGTCTAGGGCCGAGGAGGGTAGGGAGGGATGAAGAGCGAGCGGAGGGCCGAGGGCGTCAGGAGCGGCTAGGCAGGGATGGGCAGCGGGCCTGGAGGGGGAGCGGGCGACAAGCGAGGAAGCCTGAGGGCAGACTGGAGGCGGGCGGCCGGCCGTGCAGGAGGGTCAGCCCTGAGGGGAGGGGGCGGACGTGAGGCCGCGCGGGCGGGGACGAGGGTCAGGCCCGGACCCCGAGCGCACTTACCCCACTCGAGGAACTCGGCCACGTACTTGTCGCGGCGCAGGGCCGAGTGGCTGCACTCGGTGTACAGGCAGACGAGCACGTCGAGCAGCGTCTCCACGCTCAGGGCGCTCTCGTTGCGCCAGGGCCCGTCCAGGAGCAGCTGCTCCAGCTTCTTGAGCCGCACCTTGGCCGACATGGTGCCGCGCGGCCCGCTCCCCACACGCCGGCCTCTCGCCGCCCGCTCCGCCAGTCCGTCAGGACGAGCCCTCGGGAGCCCGGCGGCCTCGTCGCCGCCCCGTCCGCGTCGTCGCGCCCCGGCCTAGGCCGACATCTTGGGCTCCGTCCCGGCGGCGCAGAGTCTGGGGCGCCGGGCCCCGCGGGTCCATGAGCTGGTCTCCTCCCCTCGGCGCCGGAGATCGCTTGAGCCCAGAGTTTGAGGTTGCTGTGAGCTAGCTAGCCATGGCACTCACTCTAGCCTGGGCAACAAAGTGAGACCCCTGTCTCAAAAAAAAAAGAAACTTGGTTCTAGATGTAAGAAAGTGTTTATTTTCTCTCTCATTGTTCTATTTAGAGGAGCCTTTACGTGAGCTTTGTACATATAAGGTTAAGGTAGACTGCTAACTTACTTCTTTCGAAGCATTCTAAGAATCTAAGAATTTAAACAACCTAGACAAAGCTAAAGGTATATTGTTTAGGGGTTTGCGATGATGAGATTACATGATTCTATTGTTTTTTGTTCTTCGCAGAAAGATCTGTATTTATAAGTCTAAATAAATACTTTGCTCTTTTCAGAGGAAAAGCTCAATCGTCCACTGAATGTTCAATATAGTTTGGAGATTAATCGAGTCCTGTTTGTCGCCGTGTTATCCGCTCGTCTGGATGTCAGCAGAAGCAGGGCTTAAGGCCCTGGCTTGGCAAGAGATGACGGGTAGGAGAGCAAGAGATTCTGTCAACCGATATTTTGAGTTCTTTAATCCTAACGATGCATTGAGTATTTGCTTGAAAGAGCGAATTCCTGATGTTATGGTAGCTCTCCACAGAGAGTATCATGCATGACCAAATTTCTGTCAAATCCCAATTTACTTTTTTTGTTCAATTTACTTTTTAAATCTAATTGTAACAGTGACCTGCTGTTCTTTAAAAACGTCATGAAAAAGTTTAAGACAGAATAATGTAGGCGCTTGTAATGTTTAAGGTTTCAACAGTCTTATCTCAGTGCATGTAGCCTCATATCAAACGCGTATTTATAATAACCTAAATTATGTTAGACTAATCTTTTCATGCAACTCACATTTCCCTTGTTATTCAGGATATATAAGAAGGCGTTGTTTCTTACAGCGTATTTTTAAGATGGGAATATGTCCATGTTATGCAAAGCATTCCGGTCGTTCCAGAAAAAACATAAGATTAAAGTTGTATTTTGAGAGTTTACACTCATTAACCTCACTTACCTAAATTTGAGTAGTGTGTAGCGCGCCCTCACACCTAGGGGGGATCCCACACTAACATGACGGCATTCATCAGAAGTGAAAACTCGAGATGGCGGTACCCGTAATTCATACAAGAAAACTACAAATGGTTAACCAGAGGCGTAGAGGACTGAATTTTAAGAGTACGCACAGTTCATGGAAAGATGGCAGACTGGAATTGAAACGACTCGCTGCCATGCACTCAGCGTCGTATGCCAGCAGCAAAGCTAAGCCTTCCTACTGGTCTGCAGGCCCCACGACCACTGTTAGGTCTGTCCACGCCAACAGGCTGCAATTCACCTCGCAGACTTCGTCAAATGGTAACCTAGCCGATTATATTCATAGCTCGTGAAAGAGAAGTATGTAACAAGAGAATATTTTATTTAACAAAGGCAGAAAGACAACAGGAATTCACGCCTCTCTGGTTGCAGTTCTGTGGGGACTTGAGAACTTTGAGAAGTATTTATATTTTGTGGCCTCGGGGAATGACAAGACGGACGGCTACTAAGTATGCTTAAAGAAAGGTTACATGCAAGAGCAGTGGTTTCCACACTTTAACTTAAGGTCAGGATTTTAGCAGAAAACAGCTAATTCAACACTAAAACATAATCAATGGAAATTTAAGACAAAAGCTACAAGAAACTGAGATGACTCTTGCCATTGCCAACCACGTTGGCAGCAAAGAAAGGAGCAAAATAATTGTCTTAAAACTTATAAAACTTTATTAGCCGTGTACCTGTCCAAATTCTCAAAGATTCCCGACAACGTCCAAAAGTGAGCGCAATCAGCGTGCTTTCTTTCTTAAGTTCAAGAAATAATACATACTTTTTTTGTATTATTGCTTAACTGGCAAGAGTTTGGAAGTGGGAAGGTGGCTTTCTGCAACCGACAGGAGATCACAGGTAATTCAGAGTTTCAAACAGTTGTGGCGTTCGGAACCGTCAACAAACCACCTACCTACATTGACAGCCGTGATATATATGTGCTGAGCAGCTGTTCCCTGAGCGAAATATTCACTTGAAAGTTAGGGCTGACATTAATAATGCTCTATAGACAAATTTTATTCAAGAAGCCATTCTTCTGCGTTTCCAATGAAACTACACGTAGGCAATCCAAGTAACACTAAATAATGCTACACACAGTGGTCTTGCCGGTAAATCCAGTAACCGTCGGTGGAGCTGAGCCAGCAAGACCGTAACTCTTTGGCTCACTAGGCGAATACTACCACAAGACCTCATCTCTAAAAAAAAAATTTTTTCATAACTAGCCAGCCATGGTGGGTGCAACCTGTCTGCAGTCCTAGCACCTCAGAAGCTAAAGTGGAGGGAGTTGAGGCTTGAGCCCAGGAGTTCAAAGCTGCAGTAGCTCTAATAGGCCCTGCACTCCCAGCCTAAGTGACAGAGGGAGAGCCTATCTCTGTTTAAAAAAAAAAACTGTAACCTTAGCACTCTGGGAGACTGAAGCAGGAAGATCACTTGAGCTCAGGACTCCAAGACCACCCTGAGCAAAAGTGACCTCATCTCTACTAAAAACAGAAAAATTAGCCAGGCATGGTGATATATACCTGTAGTTCCAGCTAACTGGGAAGCTGAGGCAGGAGGATCACTGGAGCCCAGGAGTTTGTAAGCTATGATGATGCCACTGCACTCTAGCCAGGGAGACAGAACAAGACCCTGTCTCTAAAAAAAAAAATAAAACTTCAGTGGGAAAGGCATTCATTTAGGTCTGAGGGCTTGGAAGCTTCATGGAGACTACTTATAATGGGAATAGAATGAAAATGTTAAGATAAAACTGAGATATTTGAAAGCAAGCACTAGTAAGGAGGCCCAAGGCTGACCACAATCCTATGCAGGAAACAAACCCTGGCTGGAGAGCCACTTGTCCAGAAATTACCAGAAAAAATGTGTAGAACCTGGTTTACCAAAGGGAGAGTGGGATTGGGATGGAGGGCAAATCAGGTGGTCTCTCAAAATTCCAACAGTTTTCTAACACATGACTCTGATTTTTGAGGTCAGAGGAATCATCAGGTCAGTAACATTGGGAATCATCTAAGAAGAATAAATACCATGTGTTCTCCAAAGAAGCTCCAATCCAAGGATAGAATTTAAATGAAATGATACAATTCAATTCAAGTTTATCTTTGAATTTCTGATTATTTCCTAAGAATAAAAAAAAAACCAAAGTTCTCTATTATATACACATTGGTCCTTTTTGCAAAGTTTTAATCTAAAAACTGTTTTGTTGTCACAGTTACCTATCAATAAAACAGAAAACCTAATCCCCAACACAGATTGTTTACACTCAAACTGTAAAGCATGACAGCTACTATCTCATGAGATGCTATGATACTATTTCATAGGTAGTATCTTTTATTTGCCCCCCCAAAAAAAACTTTTTTGGTAGATTTTTAAATCCAAATAAAGACTTCAAAAGACTACCATATGCAATTTATACTGTCAAAACACTTGTGAGGCCGGGTGCAGTGGCTCACGCCTGTAATCCTAGCACTCTGGGAGGCCGAGGCGGGCGGATTGCTCGAGGTTGGGAGTTCGAAACCAGCCTGAGCGAGACCCGATCTCTACTAAAAATAGAAAGAAATTAATTGACCAACTAAAAATATATATACAAAAAAATTAGCCAGGCATGGTGGTGCATGCCTGTAGTCCCAGCTACTTGGGAGGCTGAGGCAGGAGGATCGCTTGAGCCCAGGAGTTTGAGGTGGCTGTGAGCTAGCTGACGCATGCAGCTCACTCTAGCTGGGGCAACAAAGTGAGACCCCTGTCTCAAAAAAAAA